AGAAATTTCTATACATCAAATAAGAACATAAAACTAAAATGTTATTAAACCTTGGTTAGGTCAATAATAGAATATGCATCCTCTGTTTGGAACCCCTCAACTCAATAAAATATTAAACAACTGGGACAGACACAAAATAGAGCAGTGAGATTCATAACGAATATTCACATTTGACCAGAGTTACACCTTTAGTAAAATCACTACATTTAGAAAGCCTTCAGGACAGAAGACTCAAAAGTAAAGTAGCAATCATACATAAAACAATGAACCATTATCTTCAAATACAAAAACAAAAATACCCAGAAAGACACAAAGATAAAGGCACATTCCTCGTTCAATATGCTAGGACAAATTTGTACAAATGCTCCTTCTTCCCTAGTGCTATGGAATGGGTTGCCCGAGCCAGCTAAGAAAACCAGTGGCTTGACAGAATTTATGTCATTGGTTAACATGCATGACGCTTAGGACGTAATCATCTTCTTATTTTGAAGTAACGTCTGCATCATAAGATAAGAACACTCCCCTCCACAAAAAATGTTTTTTTCTACATGCTAAAATCCCATTTCCAATAAAAAAAAAAAAAAAAAAAAAAGCAAAGCTACAGGCACTACATTCCATGAGCGTAGCTAAGCGTTTTAGGTTAAAATCTGACTGTTGACTGTTGTTGTTTTTTTATTGCAGAGGTTTTAACTTCACACTCCGGAGAACTCCAATCTTGTAGTTTGTTTTTAATTCTCAAAACTAAAGATCATGCGACATTCCCCGAAATAAAATCCTTCACCCGCGCGGGAGAGGGGGCGGGGGGGGGGGGGGGGAGAGACGGAATTTAATGACTAGTTTTTGGCTTCTGTTTATTTTAGGTGAGATTTTAATACTAACCATCATTTGCCGCAGCACAGCCAGGTGGGGGGGGGGGGGGATATGGAGTTAAATTCCCCTCTTCTATAAAACAAAACAAGCAATAAATAATGCAAACGACAATCTTCAAATTCCATGAGCATAGCTAAGGAAGATTTTGCTATAAAACCCCCTCTTCAATAAAAAAAAAAAGCAAATTACGCACTGAAAATGTTATGAGCGTAGCCAAAGGGGTTTTGAGTCCAGTGGGCGTTGAAGCTTAAAAAAATACCACTTCAATATAAAAAAAAAGCAAATTACTTAAAAATCTTTGAGCGTAAAAAAAGGGGTTTTAAGTTTAAACCCCCCTTCAGTGGGGTTTGAAGCTAAAAAATACCTCTTCTATAAAAAAAAAAGCAAATTACACACTCAAAATTCTATGAGTGTAGCCAATTGTGGATTTGAGTTTAAACCCCCCTCCAGTGGGGTTTGAAGCTAAAAAAATATCTCTTCAATATAAAAAAAGTAAATTACACACTAAAATTCTTTGAGCTTAGCCAAGCCAAAAAGGGGGGGGGGGGGGGTTGAGTTTAAACCCCCTCCTCCAGATGGCTTTTTTTTAAAGTTTAAAACCCTTCCAGATGGATTTGAGTTTAAAATCCCCCTAGAGAGTTTTGAGACTTAAAAACCCCCCTCAATTTTATTCTAAAGCAAATTATACTCACCAAATTCTATGAGCGTAGCTAAATGGGGTTTTGAATTTGTTAAAAAAAACAAAAAACTCCAGAGATTTTTTAGTTTAAAACCCCCCAACAGATGACTTTGACGATAAAACTTCCCTTTTTGATATAAAATCTAAAGCAAACTACAGTCACCTAATTCCAAGAACGTAGCCAAGAGAGGTTACACATTTCTACCAGTGGCTGGGCTGCATTAATAAAATGCAGTGGGTAGTAATCTGCCGAAATTGAAAAAGGATAAATGGGGCTCAATTAAGATGGCTAAGACGGATTTTAGAAGTCAGTTATAGAAATCGGGTCTCAATCAAGGAAATCCTAGACCAAACTAGACCCCTTAGTAAGGTTGTGACAGAGCGTCGTTTGAGGGACATGTTCTCCGACAAAATGAATTACACATACTAAGTGTTGCGATGACATGGAGACCATTACGAGGAAATCGCACACAGAAACATCGTAGTACAACTTCACACCACACTTTCATAGAGGTCCTCAGAGCAGGTGGGAAGAGGCTTCAGACAATGCCACTGACAGATTTTTGTGGAAGCAGCTTGCCGCACAATGAGCCGAACGGCGCGGGAGGATCTAAGTCGGTAAAAATAGTACATAAGGTGTTTGAAATAAAACTTTTTAATAGCATAATAATGCATTGTAGATACGTCAGAATATGCACTTTTTGGCTTTCAATACCGGAAATAGTGCTTGGCGACGGGGTTTCGCCACGCGATGAAGGAGCTCACAACGCTCCCCCAGACTCTATTGCTGGCAAGGGCATGGAGTCTAAAATTTTTCCACTAACTTTAGGAAGAACCTAATCTAGAGTGCAATAAACGTCTTCCGAAAGAATGAAGAGTCAGAATGTAATAATAATATTAATAATACACACACAAACACAAATATATATAAATATCATGGGCGTAGCCAGGGGTTGGGGGTTCTTGGTGTTCAAACCCCCTCCCAGAAATGAAATCTCCCCCCCTGGAATTTAGTAATTGATTTTTTGCTTTGATTTTGTTTATTTTGGGTGACATTTTAATACTATACCATCACTTGCCCCAGCGCAGCCAAGGGGTTTTTAGTTTAAAACCCCTTACCAGGGTTTTTTTTTGCAGTTAAATCCCTCTCTTCTAATAACAAAACAAAAAAAAAAAAAGGAAACGACTATCCCCAAATTCCAAGAGCACATTTAAGGAAGATTTTGATTTTATAAGCCCCCTATTCAATATAAAAAAAAAGCAAATTACACACTCAAAATTATATGAGCCTAGCCTAAGTGTTTTGAGTTGAACCCCCCCCCCCCCTCCTCTTCAGTAGGTTTGAAGCTAAAAAAATACCTCTTCAATATAAAACAAAAGCAAATTACGCACTCTAAATGGTATGAGCGTAGGTAAATGGGTTTTGACTCAGTTTTGAGTTTAAACCCTTTTAGCGGGGTTTGAAGGTAAAAAAATACTTCTTTAATATTAAAAACAAAGCAAATTATACACTCAAAATTCTATGAGTGTAGTCAAAGGGAGTTTGAAGCTAAAAAAATTACTCTTCAATATAAAAAACGTACTCAAAATGCTATGAGAGTTGCCAAAAGGGGTTTTGAGTTTAAGCCCCCTTTCAGCGGGATTCGATGCTAAAAAAATACCTCTTTAATATAAAAAAAAGCAAATTACACACAAAAATTATTTGAGCGTAACCAAGCCAAGCCAATTGGCTCTTGGAATTAGGTGACTGTAGTTTGCTTTATATTGAAAAGGGAAGTTTTACAGTCAAAATCATCTGTTGGGGGTTTTAAACTAAAAAATCTCTGGAGTTGTTGTTTTTTTAAAATCAAAACCCCCTTGGCTGTGCTGGGGCAAGTGATGGTTTAGTATTAAAATCTCACCCAAAATAAACAAAATCAAAGCAAAAAATCAAGCAATAAATTCCGATTTCATTTCGGGGGGGGGGGGGTTGAGCCCCAAACCCCCCTGTCTACGCCCATGATATAGATCTATATATATATATATATTTCGATCTAGATCTAGTAGGACTAATTGAAAATAAAAAATAAGAGTACTCCCGTCCCATAATTATTATTTTGCAATTTTTAGATACATAATCTAGAAAGATCTAGATAATCAATCTATTTAAATGTACATAAGATGATTAAAATCAACATGGATTATTTCGATCTAGGATTTTTGAAACATTATCTCAATGAAAACAAACAGGAAATGGCTTTGTTTCATGTATTTGCGTGAATATCCGAGAAATGATTTTGCATTATTTCTTAACTTTAAAAACTAAAGATCATTACTTTTCTACAACAGAAATGATTGATTGACTCCCCTTAGCGCTTAAAAAAGAGTTTACGTACATAAAAAAATATATATATATATATCTATATATAGGTTTGTAAATCGATCAATCGCGGATAAGAATGTATTTCCGGTTTCAAGTCTAGTATAATATATATAAGTCTATGGTCTGACACTTAAATAACTTTTATGTGCAGCAACTTAGGCTACACTACTTGTATATCGATTGTCACTCACACTTCAGTATCGGCCCCACGTTACTTTATTTTACTAAATTTGACCTGCCTTTTTAAATAGGATGAATAATGTGCGTTTCTGACAGTGAAGAATACTTTTGGCATCGTGGCTCTACTGACAAGGGAAAGGCCACCAACGTGAATTTTGTTTTGAAGTTTGAGAATCACTGTTCTAGTTGTAATATGACCACTTTTTGTTATTCTCTGTTATATATAGCATATAAATATATATATCGACACAATTTGTGTAAATAAATAGCACTGAACATTTAATTTTGTATCTTACTCCGTTTGTTGCGTGCCTGTTTGTGGTGATCCAGCACATTGTGTGCCGGTACTCAATCATTCCCTAAGACACAATACACGCGGGTCGTCACAACCTTTGCTTATCGTTTCCAAAGAGGTCTATTGATAAATCTTATTTTTTGTTTACAAATATATTAGTTAGTATCTGTAAATATATTTACTTAAACGGAATGTAAATTAAAAATCATGATTCATAACATAGGTTTTTTTTTACTTAACACATTGCTTTATGCAGACTGCACCAACATTGCTCGACAACTGTGCTGATAAGAATTTGTCCATACAGTGGACGGACCATATTTTCAACAATAGCAATACATGTATGCTATTTATTTTGTAAAAACACAACTAATTTGACACTATACAGTCTAAAAACAAAACAGCTTTTTAAGGACGGCAGAAAACATGGTTATAAATCTTTCTGTGAAAAGTTAAATTCGACTATGTTGTTGGTCACTCATAATGACAGGTTTCTATTGCAATGAAGCTAATTAATAGATCTGTGCACTATATATGAAAGAAAGATCTATTCTGGAAGATATATTCCACAAAGTTCAATGGACATACATACATACAGAACTGAAATGAACAAAATTTGTCTTGGCACATCACATTTATTTATTTTTCTTAATATAAAAATGCAAAACTTTTCTCTATTTTAATCAGCAAGATTTTTTGAGCCAGTAAACAAATTGTTTTAATATGCAATAATCTTTTTTTTTTTTTTTTTTAAATAAAAGTACAACTTATTAAGTAGCATACTATGTTAAAAGAATGAAATGAACATTTTTTTTTTTTTCAAAAACTCAAAATCAGGTGATGTTGATTTTTAAAATGAGAACATTTGACTGCTTCTACCATGTGAACAATTACAAGTAGGATTAAGCATTTCTCAGTTTAAGACTACACTGCAGCAAGAAAAACACAACTCACTCTTAAGATATAAACAGGGAGTGAAAATACATGATTTTAAGACAAAGACTGTACATTTTACCATCAAATTCAAAACTTTATTACACTAAGAGAAAAATGCCAAGAGACAGATGAAAAAAAAAAAGGCAGACAAAATAAATGCTGCAAAATGTCTTAAAAGTAAATGTTATAGACTAGCAGGGAAAATATCAGTCAAATATTTAGGGTAGAAAAAAAAAGACAAGGACTGTAATTTCAAGACATCTAAATGTAGAAAAGTTTTTCTCCTGTCATGTTGTTATTTACAGTTTTACTAGAAGAGTTGAGCAATTGATGTACTATTGTTTTATTATTTATAATGTTATTAAGTAAATATTTCACCCAGTCAAAACTTATTTGTTGGATATAAACTTATCTGAACATTCTAAAATTTATTTCTTTTTAAATGTAGGAATAATATATAAATTAGCTAATTTACATATTTTGAATTTGTGTGTTCAATATTTCAAAACAACAGACAATAATATGATACAAAACAAAAAATTGTGTTTACATGATCAACTCAAAACATTGAAATGGATAACATTTATCACATGATGGAATTTGAAAATAGTGCACCATAAAAATTGGCATTTGGCTACAAATAAATGAGAAATTATGGAAACAGTTTTAGAACAAGTCCATTTGACATTCTAACTCCAAAAAAGATGAACTGTTCTAAAAATGTGGTTTTAACAAATATTTACTACAAATAATAGTTGAGCAAAAAAAAAAATGTTTTAGAATCATCTAAATTTATGTTTAAAAAAAAAATATGTCTGCTTTAACCAAAAAAAAAAAAAAGAAGAATTTCATTTTTAATTTACCAGAGTAGGAATACTACAAACAAACCTTGCAATAAAATTGTCCATGCAAATAAGATGACACTACACCAAGGATAGAAGTACAATTGTTGAGACATGTTAAGTGACTGTACTAACATTTTTAATAGTCATTTTTTTTTTTATTTTGATTCCTGGCAAGCAAAGATTTAATGCAAAGGAGAATGAAAAGTAGATTGATCACAAATTGGTACTTGATAAAAACAGTGACTATAAATAAGCTAAAGCTGGTGCAGTGATGGTGAAAACCCTGTGCAATGAAGGTTACTTCAGGCTAATTTATGGTTAACATTTAATCCAGTTGGAATAACAATTCACTCTAGTTCACAGCATACAAACATATATTCAAACAAATTACTATGCGAGTATTGGGATAGAGAAATAACACTCTTTCAGAAAAATAAAAAGCCATCAAATGAATTCAACAACCATCAATGACAACATAGCCCTAAAAATCCTATAATAAAAAGTCAACATTTAAATCAGTACAAATTGACAGAAACTCCATTAATTCCCTGCATAAAACATGAGGTCTCAAAACAGAAAATTCTATTACAGGCATTAGCTCCATTTAGACAATCTAAATCTGTCTTATCATTTTGCTTTAAAAAAAATGCTATTATAAAATTACTAATTGAAATAGCCAAGCAGACGTTCCATTAAACACTTATATTACATTTTGATCAACATAATTATCATACACCGAAAATTGTTTCCTATTCTTCTGACGTAATCTGGCCAAGCACTGCAATGCCTATGTAAATGGATGATCTTTGCTAACTGCTGATAAGATCAACTTAATTACTGTGACTTGTCCTTCTTTTTCAAGAATGGCAGTTTACTCTGAATACTAAAAAAAAAATTTAATTACATTACTAAATGTCTCACTTAAGAAGAAAAATATACTTTTATTGAGACTTAATTCATTCAACTGGTACACATTTAAGCAAACTTAACCTTCTAAAGACAACGCGTCCAATCAGCTCAAGGCTATTTGGTGAAAAAGACGAAGCGGCCAATCTATTGGCTGCAATGTTTCCAACAACAAGATTGGCTAGCCAGTGTTTGTATCAGCCAATCAGAATAGTTCTAACTATTTTTACACACTAGTAAACTGTAATGATGGCTTCCTTCGCTGTTTTTATATGATAATTTGTTTGTATTGATTTTTTTAAGTTAGCTCGTGACAGGTGAAAAATTTAACGTCAGACGTGATATTGAAAGAAGCAAACTGACTCTGATTTTATTTATATTTACTCTGATATCCCTAATAAAAATCAGGGCAGTATTGAGGAAAGCTTTATAACTAAGTTTAGATCTAAATCTAGTATAATGTTGACGATGTCTATTCATGGTAACATGGTTTAGAGTTAAGGCTGAGGAGCTGGATAGAGAAGACCCATATGAGCCCCAAGGGATTAACACCCTGTAGACTGTTTTATACTTTTTTTTAAACAATCAATTAAGTTCAGATGTTTGTCAGAGAGACTAATAAATAAGAAGCCAACTTTCTGACCATCAAACAGCTCACAAGAGGATCCCTGGGTCATAAATGGTCGGCTGTCACAGTGGCCAACATGAAGGTGTTTGTTTCCATGGTGGGATGGGGTAAGAAAAGTATTAAAATAATGCCACAAAAGCGTCTGAAGGGTCTCCATGGACCTTGTTTCCCTAAACACAAGTATTAGGACTTATTTAGCCTAAAACTCTTTAAAACTACCTTTTTAATTGTGTTCTGTTTTGAAAAAATTTGTTTGGGAATTTTGTGCATAAATTATGCAAATTAGCTTTTAATAAATGTTAATATTTCAGATGGATTCTATAAGATTGTATTAGTTCATTAATTTCTCTTCAATAATATATATCTAGGTCTAGGTAAAGTAATTAATTAATTTGTTAGGAATTTTGTTTGTAAGAGAAGTGCTTAGTCTGGAAATAGTGCTCCATCTTTATGGCACAAGACATGCTCAAGCTAGTAGCACCACCTTGGAATGATTTTATGGTCATAATGCCTCTAATGTTGTATGATCTCACAATAGCATCAACAGGAAATTCATTCAAAAGAATGGGAATTTTAGTGACTTTAGACTTAAAGTTTGCAAGAATTAAGCATTTCTTTCTTTTTTTTTTTCAGACAATTCTTTGAAGAATTAGCAATTAAAGCTTTGGCATCCTCCACACTCAATATTCATAAAAAATTTTATAAGATTTTTTGTTCAGACAGATAACCCTAATTAGCTGTTGAACTTGCTTTTACTATAGAAGCAGGATTATCTGATATAGATTTACTCCTTATATCTTATATAATACAGACGTTACTTCAAAAAAGAAGATGATTATGTCCTACCCATCATGCATATTACCCAATGACCTAAATTCTGCTAAGTCACTGGTTTTCCTGGCTGGATGCATATTCCATTATTGGCCTAATCAAGGTTAATAACATTTTAGTTTTATGTTCTTATTTGATGTATCTTAATAAACCCTAAAGCTTTGTTTGATTTTTTGATAGCTTCATCAATATGGGGATTCCATGACAGTTTTTCATTTATTATAACACCTAAGTATTTTGCATTTTTAGCCTGTGTTACTGGTTTACCATGAAAAAGATAACTGGAAGAAATTTGTTTTAGTTTTTTTGTTACTCTTAATAACTGACATTTTTCTGGGTGGAAAGACATGCTCCAATTTGATTCCTATTTCTGTAATTCATGTAATTCTCTTTGTAAAATTTCTGTATCTTGTGTTGTTTTTATTTATCTATATATTATGCAATCATCTGCGAATAATCTGACTTTTTGTTTATAAATTAATTTGGTTAAATCATTTAAGTAAGTTAAAAATAGTAGTGGACCTAAGACTGTTCCTTGAGATACACCTGAATTTACATTATAGGTTTTGATTTAGAGCCATTTATTATTACAGTTTGTTCTCTCCCTAACAGAAAATCCTTAATCCACTGATGCAATGGACCATCAATGCCAAAATATTTTAAGTAAGATTATTTATTCTGGGTTCTGATGCTTCAAGTTGTTTTAAAAAACCACGAAAGAGATATGTTGAAGGAGAGCACTAGGGATCAATAATTTTATGCTTTTTTTCTGCAAAAGAAAAAGTTTTTTTGCAAGCACACTCAACCTTGAATGTTCCTGATTTTAATCAATGAAGTGAGGCTTTCATAAGTGTTAGGGGCCTCTGCACAGTATCTTATTTAGATAAGTGCAAATCTAGGTAACACTCAAACAGTCAAATCAAATAACATAGGCGGCAAAAGGCCATTAATGCTAAGATACTTGACACTTATGAACAATGTTGAATAATACTTTAATATGTAATGAAGGGAACCATCATGTCGTTAAGCTAAACCTCCGTAAACCTTCAGAGAACTAAAATCTGCCTCTAAGACTTTGGGAAGAAGTTTTGACAGGTCCAATAGTTACCAGCATATATACAAAATATGGTCATTATTTATGGCATCATTGTCTAATCCAGGTGTAAATCTAGATCTATTTTACAAAAACACTACCCATAAGTAAAAAATACTCAAGATATTGTTTGATGCTCATTTTTTATTATGTGCCTTAAGTATTCTACTAGCAGGTTTTAAAATATTTCTTGACTTGTATGTGTGTAGCATTAAAAAAACATCAAAAACTTACATAGTGATAATATTATTCACTTGTGCTTTAACCAGACCAATATAATTATCAATCTGAACCTGAAAGATTACAAATATTAAATGTACAATTATTTACTTTAAATAATATTTTTAATAAAAATATTTTAAATTTTCTTTTTTAACCAATAAGTCTATAATTTTGTATTAATTAAATATCAATATTATTAACAAGTAAAAATATGAAGTACCTGATATGTTTCATACACTTTAGGAACAGTGAAAAGAAGAACAATATCTGAAATAGTTATTAAATATTTATTACAAAACTGTGTACAACTAAAAATTATTACTATAGAAGTTAGAAAAAGCCAAATAAATAAGCCTCTTTAATAAAAAACAGAAAAATTTGATAACAGCTGGCACTTAATACAACCTGTTAAAACAATCAATCATTCTGTGATATTAATGTGCATGTCTAAAAAATGAAAAAAGAATTTAAAAAATTGAACAAATCAATCATCAGATTTTGTAATTTTTGTTTTACATTTTAACAACATAAAATAGTTTATATGGTACTAGCTGATAACTGAGCTAAGCTACAGTTGAAACTAAAGTATATATATATATATATATATAATTTTCCTG